CTGGTACTAACATCAGATTGGTGTTTGTTCGCTATTTCATGTAGGGATTAACGTATCTGTGAAATGTAGACAGCAGGGGGGGATTGTAAACATGTGATGGTGTATATGACATTGGTAGAGGTGCAGACACATGAACCTTGGATATTATAATCCATGTTATTTGATCCAGTGACGGTGTGTTCTGTATTGTTTGGGAGGGGAGGGGCATGGCTGACGTCTGGGTCTGGAGCAAGGTCTAATGCCTCTGGTTCCCCATTTAGCTTGTGGGGTTTTCTTTACCTACCCTTCTAAAGCCTTTAAGTGTTTGTCTACATTGTGGTCAATGTGTTCCAGCCAGGCTTTCCCTGAGCTCTTCCTGCATACATACTACAAACCTGGAAATACGTTGGTGAGACTGCTGCAGTCACATCACCAGTGGCTGCTCTCAAGCATTCAAGAGGGATAATCCAGAACATCGTCACCAGCAGGAAGCCAGCAAGAGAATTAGTGGGACCATTAGATGACCAAAGGGTAAAAGGTATATTCAAGGGTGATAAGGTCATAGCAGAGGAGATAAAGGCATTCTGTACATTGGCTTTTACAATGGAAAACCTATTGTTACAAGCAGTCTCTTTGCCAGAGAATTGGCAAGTTGCCAACATAACACCCACCTTCTGAAAGGGCTCCAGAGGTGATCCTGAGAACTACATTCCAAGTTTCCTTTCCGGTCGTGGCAAGCTGATAGAATCTATAATAAAGAATAAAATCAGCATTCACAAGGACAAAAAAGACCTTCAGGGGAGTATTCATTATGGCTTTGTAAAGGGAAGTCTTGCCTCATCTATCTGCTGGAGGTCTGTGAGGGCATTAACAAATGCATAGACAAGGGGGATCCAGTTGATATATTTGGAGTTCCAAAAGCTTTCAATAAAAGTCTCTCTTTAAAGGCTTTTATTTAAAAAAAAAAACTGTGTTGCCTTGAGATTGGAGGGAAGGTGCTTTCATGGACTGACAGGTAGTTAAAAGGTAGGAAGCAAAGGATAGGACTAAATGGTCATTTTTCAGAATGGAAGGTCAAAAGTGGGGTCAGTCCTGCAGGGATCTGTGCTGGGCCCAATTTTATTCAACATTTTCAATGATCTGGAAATGGGGGTGCAAAATGAAATCTCCAAGGTTGCAGATGAGATCAAATTATTCTGGGTAGTCAAGTCCCAAGCTGATGGAAAGGAGCTGCAGAAAGTTTTCATCAAGATAAGTGAGTGGGCAAAATGGCAGATAAACCTCAGTGTAGACAAGTAAAAGGTAATGCGTGACTCAGGAAAGAGACCTTGGAGTCATTGTACATTGTTCTGTAGAAACATCAGGTCAGTGTGTAGTGACAACCAAAAGAGACAATAAAATATTGGGCATCATTAAGAATGGAAATGAAAACAAAACAGAGAAGATCATCCTGCCATTATAAAAATCCATGGTGCACTTATATATCAAATACAGTGTGTAATTCTGCATCTCCAAAGGATAGTACAATTAGAAAAGGTACAGACAAGAGCAGTGATCACGGGTACATTCCTAGCATATTTCTAAGTTTGGGGCAAAATAGGATGCATCTCCAGAGGTGCACCAAGTCTGCCTTATTCAGGATGTGGTGTATTCACGAAAGGCCTGGCTCAGTATGGGCATACCCCAACCCCCCAAGCATTGGAATTTGTTCCTGGATATTTCTGTATCGCCCAGGTGCTTGGCTATGTCCCTTTTTTGAACCTACACCTCAGTATTTGCCTTCAGTTGTAGTTTGCTTAAATGAAGTTTGAGTGTGAACTAAATGCAGGCCTCAGTGTTTGGTCTGTAGTAGAGTATATATAGTACTAACTAGCACATACAAGCAACCCTCACTTAACATGGTTTCGCTTACTGCAGTTTCATTATAACACTCACTTAAAATACCTACCTAGTTTTGCACAGTGCTGAGCGCGTTTTGCTATAACGCTTAGTGCAGGTGTGGGGAAAAGCAGTGGCAGCGAGGGAAGTGATAAGACCCCAGGAAGAGGTGGCAGGAGCCCGGGGTCCACTCTGGCATGTGGTGCTAGAGTGGCTAGTGGGTGGGGAGGAGCGGCGGCAGCAGCGGGAAGAGGCAGATGGGGGGCATGAGTGCAGGGCCTGGGCCAGCGGGGCAAGCCAAGCTCACAGAGCTTCCCTGCCCCTGAGCCTGCAGCAATCTGGTGGTGGCAGCTTGTCCCTGTGCCGGGTGCCCTGGAGGGAGCCCCCCGCTGGGTGACCCCACTGCTTACCCTGTGCCAGAGCCCCGACTCAGGCCCCATGGGTGGGGTGGCTGTGCAAGGGTGCACTGGTGGCCAGTGGGTATGGGCTGGCAGGGGCCACTGCAGTGGGGGAAAAATGAGGCTGGGAGGAACTGATGCCTTCCCTGGCAGAGCCCATGTGATGCCCTGCAGGGAGCGGCCCGGCAAGGGCCGGCTGGAGTGCAGGGCCTGGGCTGGCAGGGCCCAGGGTGGGGCTGCAGGAGCATGGGGTCTGGGTCGACGGGTGGTGCGGAACCAATTATCTTTATTCCTATGAGGAAATGGGTTCCACTTAATGCTCTTTCACTTAGTGCTCGTTTTTTCCAGAGCCAATTAGGAGCACTAAGTGGGGGCTGCCTGTAGTTTGTAGCTGGCAAGATTGATATTTATCTTGATATTTTCAGTAATTCACCATTGTGTGATTGTTTGAAATGTACCGAGGGCAAGTTAGGCTTGTGCAGTGGGAATGGGGAAAAAATGTAAAAATGTTTTTTGCCTTGTCCTTCCTAGGTCGAAGGTAGGCACAACAGCTGAAAGTGGGGACAGAACTAGTGTATTCTGTGGGGCACTGGCTTTGCAGCCCACTCACCCTAATGGGAACGTGCTGGAACGTCATTCCAACAGAACACCTTGACCTTTCCCTGATGCACAGTGACTCCCAGTACTTCCAGTGGGCGCCGCTCCTAAATGCTCAATGGATGGTGTGACCTTGCACAAGTGACGTCTGACGGGCAGATTATAGTACATGTAACAATCACTCAGAATCACTTATATCACTTATTTCAAAAGCAAAGTTTATTTTTCATCAAGGTAAGACACATTATGTACTGCATACAATAGAAAATACTGTCCATAAAAGCTGCTTTTAACTGCTATAACCAAAATAATAATATATATGTGTGTGTGTGTGTGTGTGTGTGTATATATATATATATATATATATATATATAAATTGCACTTGAGAAATTAGTTGCTATCCTAGAAGAATACACTAAATAAAAGGTAGTGAGCTGCTTTGAAATGATGGAACTATTTCTTTTGCTTTTGAAAGTTATATTTATACTGTGGGCTTCCAATTACTTCAACAAAAATGAAGCAGACTAATTTAACTTTTTTAAAGACAGCTGATTTTAACTTAAAAATAATATATAAACAGTGTAGAAGCTATTTCAAACCTACAAAGAAAGAGGAAAATAATGGTACAGGGAAAATGCCTGTTTGTAATTTCTGATAATAAATAAAAAAGGACGGTAAAGCTATTTCACCTATTATGGGTTATGCAGTTTGGAGCGTGGTTTACTGGAAATTTTATGTTCAGTCATGATAGATATTATCCTTTTTAACATTTTTGGCATAAAAGGCAACATCTCCATAGCAAACTGTGGCAACTCGTAATAAGTAGGCCATTCGTTCCCATTAGTGCTTAGTGAACCATGAGAGAAAAGTTAGTTTTTGTGACCAGTTCAGGAAGTATCTAAACATTTCCAACTTCAAGCAAATGAGAAGTCCCACTGACTTCTTGGGGCCTCTTGCATGACATTTTTTCCTGTTTGATGATGTTCTGTGCTGCGCTCTGGTACACTATCGTTGTCTGTGTTTAATTCAATAGTGTGTTTCTAACATTCCACTGTTAACACTGAAGTTTTGAAGAGCATACAAAATTGAATTTGAGATGTCAGGCATAACTGAGCACTCAGTCTGGTAAGCCAGGGTAAGTTGCCTCAAAGGGATGAGAATCAATGAACTAGGCAAAGCAGAAAGTAACATGAAACCAAACTTCCCATAAAACCAATTTGCTTAAACTAACTAAACCATGGTGCTTAGTCGACCGTAGCTTGGCAGTTCAGTCAGGAAGAGCTTGCTGCCTGCACTGTAGTGGTTTCAGAAGTAGGTTCCCCCTCTCCACCCTCAAATTAGCCTAGAATTATGGGGGTGATTGATCAGTCTTATAATTACACCTGAGATAGGAAAAGAATGTAGTCCTCTTTTAATAAAACTGAATTAAGTAATGGAGCTGGTAATCTTTGGTTTCAGTGTTGCTCTTTAAAGTGAATTGCTTTGAAAAAATGATGAATCACTTCCCATCTCAGCTTCCCATCTCAGAGATTTTGTAAATAGACATCTGGGAGCCAAGGAGGGGTGTGGGGGGGGAAATATATATATATAAATATATAAACGCTTAAACAGCAAAAATAAGCCTACCGCCAGCACCAACAAAAAAAAAACCCTAACCCAAACACTATATTTAGAATCACAAATGTTCAAATAAAGTCTAAAAAATAACACTCACAATATCTTATATGGTATATTCCAGGATAGATTTGATAAAGTTACAAAAACAGGTAACAGATTTGACTCGATAAAGAAAGTAATATAAAAAACATGAGAGCACTTTTTATAATTGTTCCGGTGATAACCAAGACACAGTGGTTCTAATGTTCTCAATATCATATGATATATTGTGCTATTTAGCTGATTTTGAAATGCTATTGTAAAGTCACTTCTTTCTGAGCAACAAAAGCACAGAGGCAGCACACACAAAAATGAACCATGCCGCTTGAGTCTGCTATTAAATAAATCTATAGATTCTTGGCCATTAAATGTTCCACTCCATTTTGTCTGTAACGTCCACAATCACAAGTTCAATTCTCTTCCAGATTTATAATTGCCTATATTCTCCACTGGACCACTTTCAGAGCAGTATCTCACAATCTTTAAAGCTAGTTTGGAAAAAAAAATCCTTTATTTTAGTTAGAGCACTTTCATAATGTTTTGATAGGCATAGGAGCTATGCTATAGCTTTTAAGGTGCATATTTAATTAAAAGGTGGTAGAATATTTTTTGTGAATAGTAATTAATGCTGAACATTTTTCAAGATACAGATGTCAATTAATGAGCTAATATGTCTGAACAAAATGCAATCCAAAAGAAAATCAGTGCCAATATTTTAATCATGGCAATATATGCTACTGAAGTCAGACAATTAAGGTTACTGTATATGGTGACAAAGTTATAGTATTCCTTATAAAAAAAACCCAAATCAAACCAATATTGATATTTGATCTGTTCTCTAAAGCTAGAACCCAGTTTTGTTTTCAGCTTGAATACACATGCAAGAAACATCAGCATTTTCAACAGAATAATGTCCATTTTGACTGTCTACCTAGAAAAAAACACAATCCTTGAAACACAGTGAAGAAGAACATATACAAGAGTCATATCTTGCTTTCTTCATGGAGACCCTGCATCTTTAACCAAACATCTTTAACCAAGTGGCAGTACTTCAGTGGGCTTGATAGCGCTCAGGACCAGGTCCTCAGGCAAAGTGTTATATGATTATGATAAATGTTTTGCTGGAGTATAGACTGCAAGACATGACTTCACTGTAGTTTTATTTTATTCTATATTTTCCTCGTTATCTATAAATGTACTGAAAAGGGACAAAGGGAAATTCTACTTAGGGGATGGATTGAAGTGAATTAACCATTATATAGGTATATTGGATCAAATACTACCCTCATTTACCTGTGCCACCCAGTAGGCCAGGTATACATGATGCCAGAAATTAGGTACTTGCATGTATGTGTAAGTTTAGAAGATGCAAACACAGATATAAGATTATCTCAGTGAAGATTTTTATCTCCAGATATGGGATTTAGCTGCACAACTTTAATTAATTTAAATTGGAATTGTGTTGCTTATCCCCATATTCAGGTTTGAAACTTTCAAACCTCAGAATCTACTGCTAAATGTAATCCTGTATTATCAGATGATGACACAGAAACAATGATATACCTGTTTAGCTGCCGTGGCACTAATCAACATAGCTATGCTGAAACACAGAATAATTTTTGCCAATTGCAATGTAGGCTAGTAGCAAAGTTCAAATTATCAGTTAGAGAAAGTCATTTGAGACCAACCCTGCTCAAAATTAAACACCCTTTAAACTGCAAGTAATGTGCTTTGGTCTGTTTTTATCGTGGAGGTCTTGAGCTGCAGATGCAATCACAGCGCTCATGATGGTTCAGTTGAATATCCACTAGGGCCATGCTGTTCCTGGTTCTTCCCTTCCTCCTGACATGGCTTAACTCAGGGATGAATTTCAGCACCTGAAGACAAAAGTAAATGTATCTTTTAGAAAATTCTCTCAGTGGTTTAGAATGAAGTAGGTATTTCTTTTGGAGAACATACATACAGAACCTCCTATGGCAGGGAGATGTCAGCACAATACGTTTTGCTAGATGGCACCAGACCTCAAGCACCTTCCCTTACTTGCATTTGTTCATTCTGGCATTTAGGTGGGTTGGTGCAGTTAAAGCAGAAACTGGATCCAGCCCGAGAGAAGCAGCAGCAAGTAGCTACATGGGAGAGAAGTGCCTTCAGAGCCCCTGAATATATTTGGTGTTAGAAAGCTGCATTGGCTGAACTAAGGTAATTTATTTTCTGCTGTTAGCTCTGCACTCTCTCTTCTACTTATCCTCTGCTGTCATGCTCCCTTCCCATGTCTTCCAGGCCCCTCTCTCTGCTCTTTCCTTCCCTCTCCAGTTCAAACATTCCTCTGACTCATTGCCTTCTTTTCCTTGTTTCTCATGCCATGTACCTCATCGTTCTCTCTGTCCCCTCCCCCTTCACTTTCACCACCATATTTATATCCAATACAGTGGATTCAGTTTATTTGGAATCATCAATGTTTTGCACACTGCTAGCCCGTGTTATCAGGCAATCTCATTATTGCTATCCTCTCCTGTATCTCTCTGATGCTTTGTTACGCAACTCTACACTAGACTTTAAACTCTCTAGGGCACCAATCACTTATTACTAAATATGTGTAGCTGACCTAAAAGAACGGGGCCTGTATTCTGATTGGGCCTCTGGATACTGCTGAACTACAAGTAAAATAATACCAATCCAAACTTTGGGAGATACGGCACTTGCCAAAGCCAAAATGAAATTGAAGGTTAGTATAGCTCTGCTATTGCATGGGCACTTGTATTGTCCTCACCTTGGAGGTCAAACTTGCTTCAGTGCACGCACAGGCTGAAAAATAATCTTTAGATAAACTGTTTTTACAATGCACAGTCTTATCAGGTCTTTATTGCTATCTTGGGGAACAGATTTTATTTTCTGTTAACTTGGAGATTTTTTTTCGTGTTGTAATTTCAGTTTTTTCGTTCCACTCAGTGAGACTCCACTGCATGGTTTGTCCTGGAGCTATGACAGATTAGATTATTTCTATAACACTATCTTTATCTTGTGTAATTACTTAACCATGGCCATAGTCTTCCTTTGCGTGCTAATTATCAAATATGTTTCTTTTGGTCTGTCTTTACCATACTGTGCTTGTCTGAGGGTTTGTTTTGCAAACGACACGTATTGGAGGAGTTAATGTCCATGTTCTAAATCAGTAGGGGCCAACCTTTTCGGCAGGCATGCCACAAATTAGTTCCATATGCTCCACAAGTGCCACTCCAATCTCCTTCCCCTGCCTGCTTCTTGCTCTCTGCCCTATCTGATGCCGTGCTGCCTGTTCCCTCCCCAGTCTGCTGGGTGCCATGCAGAAAGGCTGCCTGTGCCACTTGTGGCTCGCAGGCTACAGGCTGGTCACCCCTGCTCTAAATGAATACACATATTTCTTTGTAAACAGGTTAGAGCTTCTACTATGTTCTATGTGGTTGGACTCACTAAAAATGTTAACAGTAATATGTGTAGGATGAGGAGTCTAAGGGAGATCAGAGGGAGCTGGCCACTTAATTTCACTGGGATTTAGGCATCCAACTGCTATGACTTCCTTTGAAAATCCCACTGTTGTCCTGAACTGATTTCTTTGACTTAAATGCTGTCTCATGCTGTGCACTACAGGGAGTGAAATCTTGTGTGAGGGGGCTACACAGACAACAAAAATGGCAGCATGAAAGGTTTTCTCTTCTAGCCCCTGCTCCCCACATTCACCTAATTAGCTTTGTCCCCACTGCAAAAATATCCATGTGGGAAACAGAGACACACACACAGAAGGAGAGATGCTGAACAGTATGCTTCCCCCAACTTTAGAAATGTAATAGTAAAGATCTATGGACAGCAAACTAATGCTGCTTCCAAATATTTGCTTCATGCACTATGTTCCTGCAAGTGGGCAACAAATAATCAGAATATCACAGCCTGGCCATGTATGGTGACCCCAGAGGGACTGCCCTTTAACATGGCTAGATGGGATCTGATAGAGCCTCATTAATTTAAGATCCTGAGCTCTCTGTTGTAGTTTATGGTTCTTATCTTTGACAGTTTTACATCTCCCTATAAACCCTGTGGACCAGGTTGAGGGGAAAGAATATACCAAGTTTTCTCATTAGGTTGTTCTATACTGAAAGATTTGGACAGTGGCAGGAAGGGATGGAGAGAAAAGGCTATCCTATTGTGTTTCTGTACACACAGACTTTTATATTCACAGTAGTTATTCCAAATTTCTGTCCTGAGACCCAGGTATCAATTACAATTAATTAATACACTAAAGGAATTTGCTGAAAAACTTGTAATAAGAGCACAAGAATTGTATAGCATTTTCATCCATCGATCTCAAAATACTTTGCAAATAAAGCCAGGAACCATTATCTCCATTTTATAGAAGAGGAATTTGAGGTAGAAGGGGAAGAAATACTTATTCAAGGTCATGCAGATCAGTGACAGAGCTGCCTATTTACAATCCTTGTGAACCCTAGCCCTATTGCTATAGTATATGAGCTTCTCCAAATCAGTTACCTTCACAACACACCAGCTTACAGATGGGGATTTGAGGCAGAGGCATAACTGGTAAGGTTTTGCCCTGGGCCAGCATTTGCTGATACCATCCTGGGAATAGCCACTACAGTGCAAGATGTCAGTGAAACCAACACTAAGATGGTTAAGGTAGCAGCTGCTGGATAGGGATCCTTTAATGCCCCGCTATTACAGTCACCGCTGCCACTCACAACACTGCCCTGAGTGCCACCAATTGTCATTGCTGGTGGCAATCAACAGTGTTAAATTTGGTGGCTACAGTGGCAAAGGAAAGGGGAGAGGGGTAACAAGAGGGTCCCTACAGTTGTGGCTGCTATGTTAATTCTGACAGCAGTGGCTGTTCCCAGTACCAGGACACTTTGGCAAATGCTGACTCTTGCCCTGGCTTCCCACAGCCAGATTCTCATGCTCCTCTGTCACCAGTCCTGACCTCTATCCCTACCCCATGTGCCACTGCTGTCACAGAAGACATAGTGGTGTGTAAAGTACATACTCCCAAGGGGCCTCCATTCTGGAGATTCCTCTCTGCTGGGGCCTGGGACTCATGCCCCACTCTCCTGACCCTTGTTATGCTACTGAACTGAGGTACAAAGAGATTAAATGACTTGCCCAAAGTCATAAAAGAAGTCTGTAGTAGAGCAGAAAATGGAATTTGACTCGCCCAAATCTAAGATCAGTAACCTAAACACCAGACTTCTTGCCCAGGCTCCTATTCACTAGATTAGGCTGTTGCAAAAGCAGTACTTAGTCTTACAGATCACCTTCCATCCTTGGATCTCAAAGTATTTTGTAAATTTAGTTGAGCTAATGTCAGAGAGAGAGAGAGAGAGAGAGAGAGAGAGAGAACATGGGTGCTGAACTGAGCAGAATTGAACATGTACAACTCAAAATGAATCCAACAGCACCGAAAAAATAGGTCTTAAATGGTTTGCCAAAGACTATCCATGAAGTCTGTAGCAGAACCAAAAACACAGTGGAAGGTCTCCTAGCTCATATGCTTTAACTATAAGACCAATCCTTTTTGACTGTGAGGCTTGAAGGGTAGGAAGTTCATGGAATGTAATAACACTGATCAAACAACATAGCAATAAAAAAATCCTCCTAACTTTTTTCCATGTTACGGTGAAGCTTCTGCTTCCAGAGGTGTAAAATCATGTAATACTGTAAGAGAATGATTGTGCTTAGATGAGATATAGATAATTACTCTTCTGCAAAAGACAGGAAGACTTGCCAATTTTTAGAGAAAACAACAGCATTTGCCAAGTCTGAATTATTTTCAAACACTGACTGCCTCAGTGCAAATAATAAATCACAAAGGACACAAGGACACCTTGCTGGGCCACGTTGCCAGCTAAAACATTAAAGAGCTGAACCCAACAGGTCTGTGAAGATTATTTTGGAGCTGAAAATAGCATCTTCAAAGACACTTATTTTTTTAAACATACTTTAAAAATCAAGTACAGCTGCCAAAGCTGAACCCACAATAAAAAAATTCTATTTAAAGAATGCTTTCATCAAAATCTGACAATTTCAAATGACTGGCACTTTCAAGATCATGGTTAGGTAGATTTGCCTTTTCATTTACAGCAAATGAAAGTGTGTGCAGTGAGATGAGAGCAGATATGTGGGCAGTATTTAAGCTAACAGACCTCCTGACAGCTTGGGGATTTTCCCTGTGTTTTATATTAAGAAACATGAACACTGTATATGTGCTTTGCTGATAAGAGTAGAAAAATGAATTGGCAGACACTTTCCCAGACAAGACAGGAAAGCTGTGTTTGAACACTGTGAAAATTGGAATGCTTTAATAGCTGATCACAGAACTGATGTTCAGAGTTTTCAGTCTAGCTTCTGTCTAATAGTCTTAGGTTAAGGTAAATACAAGAGGGCTGAAAAGAATAAGGCAGTCAGGCCATTTCTAGTGGCCACAGCAGATGAAAGAAAGTCCTTTCATGTTGGAAACAAGCTGCTTTTTATTTATTATCTGGTCACTTCTTCAAAAGTGATGCACTACTAAATTAATTAAATTAATTCAAAGAAATGATGCTATCCTTTAAGTGCATCTTTTTCTGATAACGTCAATAGTATACTTATTGTAACACAATAGGTACATAAAAATGCTCAAGGATATTCTTCATGGGTTCTTTTTTGTTTAGCAAAAAATGAGTAAATGCATGGTTTTCATGTCCAGCAATCAATATCCAACTGCACTAAGCAAAGCAAGGAGGCCCAGCTTTTCAGATTATTGTCTCACAGAAAATACATTACGACAGTCATAACATCTTTGTCACATATGAAATAGTGACTTAATTATGGCAATAAAACCATTACACTAATA